AAATTGAGTTTCAGTACTTGCTGTTTGTTATCTGACATGTCTTCATTTGTGTCTGTAACAAGAAAGAGCTGTGGTGCTATATTTTTATAGGTGTAAGATTTTATTTTCATTTTCATGTGCCTTTCTTTTACTGTTGTTTTCGCAGTTTGAGTCATGAATCAAGTTTATCATTGTGAACTATTAAAGTAACAGTATATTCTGTGTAAGTGAAATTGGTGATGCAAGCTATTGCTACTCTTTCTTTTGTTCAGTTTTATTTATTTATTTAATCAATTTAACTTCATTTATATTCCACCTTTTTTTCTTGCAAGGAACTTATAATTTAAGCAATAGTTCTCTTCTTCTTCCCCTTAATCTTATCCTCACAGCAACAACCCTGCAAGGTAGATTAGGTTGAATGTCTGTGACTGGCCCAAAATCGCCCAGCTAGCTCCATAACTGAGTCCCAGTACCATACTCTTAACCACTACACCACACTGGCTCTCTTTTACCCCCAATGCAAAACTGTTTCTGTTAACAGTTTCAAATAAGGTGAAATTTTACTTGGATTAATTTGTTACCTTTTGGGCAATTTTAGAAATAATTCATTGATGAGATAATATGCATTGTGTAGGAGCCTTCACTTTTGAAGATCAAAATTGCCTAACTCTATTATCACATAGCCTTCTAAGCCATAAAATCAGATTATTCAGATAGTTCATCCATCCCTTTCTGAGTATGTATACAACTTAATTCCAACTAACATGCATAATGTTCCAGATGTTTCGACTTATTTTTAAAAGGTGCATTTTTCGGAAAATTCATGTGAGTTATTGGACTAGATAATTCTGTGAAGCAGAATAAAGTAATATTAGCAATCTGATCAGATCTTGGTGATACTATTTTTGTGTGTCCTTGTTTTTTTCCATATCCAGTCCCAAACTGATTCTGAAACTACTTTATGACATTATCTGTCATATAATCTACCATAGTTTGTTTTTAGGATATATTTGTAGAAAGGAGGAGATTTATTTTTTTTTTTGGGTACTCAGCTTCTCCACAGTTATTCTTCTGACTCTTTGGTATAGACAGATAACTCCTTTATTAATATTTTATCCCAAAACATAGGGCTATGGCAAAATTATTATTTTTTATTTTTTTATTTAAAACTTTTCTATACCATCCCATACTTAAATAAAAATAGTTTTGCCTCATTTTAAAATACTTAAGTTAAAATTCAACCACACTTTGTATTGAAGAACAGGAAAATAAGCTAAACAAGTTTCAATAACAGTTAAGAATCAAATATATTTATTAACAACTTCTGTAGGTAGATAAGGATGTGATGAACATTCTTTTAAAAAAACACACTGATAAATATCAAATGTGGTTACAATCAGTGTTGATAATTATAGTTCATAGCTAAAATCATCTTACCTATATATTTTCTATTATCCCTGTTAAAGCAGGGTTAAAAATGAAATAGCATTTTCAGATTTAAAATGAAGCTATATTTTTTATTTCAGAGAGCTAAGAGGTTTTTTAAAAACATCTGTAAGACTTTGCACAATTCTTTCATTTCATGCAGACTGTCTAATCACCACCACCTTACAATCATTACTGTTTTTATTCCTCATTAAGTGGCTTTCTCAGAAGTTACGAAAATTACATGATTAGCATAGCTAAATTGAATAATTTGAATCTTTAATATAGTCCAGTTGCTTAATATTATGTTAGGAGCTAGAAGGGTGTTGTTTTTTATGCCAAGGTGGCCATGTGTACATCAATGTGACTTCACTTGCAATCAGAATCTTCATGTTATCCAGCTGTAGTGCAGTTGTCATTTGGCATATCCCCCAGCTGTAATTTCCATGCCAGTTTGTGGCTAAAATTCAACAGCTTGATCATTTTCCACCCGGTTTAAGATTGATCTTTCATTTACTTTATAGTTACAGCCAGCTATGCCAAAAAACTGGCAAAATTGTATTGGGTGTCATCAGCATCAACTTCAAGCCTGAGTTTAGTAAGCAAAGATGAAACAGCTGTTTCATTGTCCAGATCAGCACTCAATATATAGCCATAATTTTTTCCAGCTTTCTCTGGCTGTGATCATCTTTGTTTTTCTCTCATTTCAAATAGCATACCATACAATATTGATCCATCTCTACCATGATAGCAAAGTTAATATTATGTTTTCAAGACATATTTTGTATCAAACTAGTCATGACATGTTTTGTCAGGTTTTCAGTATTTGGCATAGTCACACTCTTGGAAATAGTGCATTCAGTAGTTGGAAAAAGAGAAGTTTTTTTTCATTTGTTTTGTACTTTTTAACAAGTCAGTTTTGAATTTTATGAGAATTAGAAATGATGTTTAAACCACAAGTTTACTATAGAGTTAAAATGATATGTAAGGCTTTTATAAGCCTTATTGGATACACTTATCCTGTAGAAGAGAGATAGTTGGGAGCTAGACTCCAGATGCCAGCACAGGGGATCACCCAGTCTTATGGTTTAGTACCAGAAGCTAACTGCTGTCATGCTTCCCTGGCCTCTGGCAGAGGTATCTTTCAGTGGAATTGGAAGCATGCTGTACAGCTAGTGCATTCTTAATTCCCTTGCACAAAACAAATGACCTTTTTTGTTATACTTGTCCCCAGTGTTGCAGTTTCCTGAGCAGTTTGATGGGTCTGGGTTTTTTGGATGTCAATCTAAGAATTTTACCCATTACTTTGCAGCACTATCATTCCAATATTGCAGAGGAGGCATTAAGGCTTTTCTAAAGGCTTGTCTTAAAGCAGCTCAGTGATTGCCTAGATAACAACTCATTCTCTTTCTTGCAATGCTGCACCAATGCTACATTTTTAAACATTTTCAGAAATAAAGTAGTACAAATGAAAAGTACAAGTATTGAGTGGACTGTTAGCAAGTTTCAACCCTTTATATGATGCACTGTGGGAACACTGTGTGTTGTCTCAGGACAATTATTCATGTCTGATTTTCTCCATCTCCAAAGATTGGTGAACTCAAGACTGTTTCACTGACAAACTTATAAATTGTGCCACTTAGAAAACCCTGCTATTGGTTCCCTTGAAATTATAGTGTACAAATTGCAAGTATGATTTTAATCTCTATTACACTGTTTTAACTGAAGATCTTGAACTATTCTGACAGAGAAAAGGAGTGCTCCAAAAATTTGATAGTATTTAGGATATGGAAGTTACTTTAATATTTGGTCTTTTTTCAGTTTGAGGCATTTTCTTTCTTTCTCTATTTGTGTTCTGTTTTAGATCAGGAGAAGCAGTTTATCTTCTCACAAATTTGTTTCCAAGCAGATATCTGATGAAATGTGTGGTTTCTCACTTCTTAGCAATTTAATTATACTGTAGCTCTAATGCAACAATAACAAAATGCTTGTGACTCAGGTGCCTGCATTATACAACTGGTTGAATAATAATCTGTAACAATTTACTGGGACATAACTCTCTGTACTAATTTATCATCATTGTTATCATCATCACCTGTCAATATAGCTCTTACTGTTGCTTGTTATTTGTTGGATGCTGCATGCAAGGTTTATACACAGTCGTAAGTATATGTAACTTTAGAGGAATTGCGTAAGGACTCAGTTGTAATTATGACATTCCATTCGAGTGAAAAAAGAGCTCTTCATATATAGTATATGTTACTCATTTGTGAATTGTGGGATCCTGCAGTCCTTGTTATGACCTGATGATATTGCTCCCTTTATTTCCAGTGTTCAGGCATGGTGCTGATCATAAGGAAAGCTGAAACAATACCACACACAGACAAGAGGAGGGTTCAGCAGGGATAAGGGAACCTCAAGGTTTTCAAACATACAAAAAACTTTTTTAAAAGACCAGACACACTGGTGGCATTTACTTCACTGAGCATGCTCAGTGGCTGATGGACTGTTGTGGGGAGGTAGGAATCTTGGATTTCTAGGAATCCAATCTGTGGATTCTGCAGAGGACCAGCTTTCCCCAAGTCTCATGAATTTTTTTGGCTTGCAGACCAGGGATTTACTTTCCAGAATTTTATTAGCAAATACAGATACAGTCCTAGAAAAAAATATACAAACAATGAAAAGTACATTTTCCCCATAGCTGAAATTGTGAAAATGTGCATTTTGAGATTTTTGCATATTCCGTCAAGAGCATATTTGCATGAGTGCACTTAAATGTAAGCTTGGAAAAATGACCCCCATCCCCAATTTCATGACAGAATGAATGGCACCTGGTAATGACAAAACAGTTGCCTGATAATTTGTGAAATTCAGGCAGAACAGATTTAACAATCTCTCAGTGCCTGAGGTAGGGAAGAAATGGAAAATGAGATGGAAAAAAGAGGAGTGGCAGAGTAAAATATACTGGAGGAGGACCTGGGACCATATTAGAAGACTGAAAATAGCACCAAACACCTGTTGAGGAGAGGGAGAATGGTGGTAGGCTGAATTCAGTTATCCCTGATTCCCTTTCCTCCACCACTTTAAAGCTAACTGACACAATTGCCGTGATTGTACAGGTTTATTTGAGTCCCCCAGCTGCTGAATGAATACAGGGCTGGCGCTGCACTCCAGAACTTAAGTTTTCTTCAGCAGTTTTAAATTGCCTTTTAAAGGCATCTTTTGTATGTTAAATCATGCTTCAAATTATTTTCTGTAATTGTTAAGGACAATATATATGGAAGAGGCATATGCAAAAAAATCTGGCTATTTAAGCATTCCAATGTTTAATTCTTAATTTGCTTTCTTGTTATTGTGTGATTTATGAGTTAATCCTATGTATGTTTAAATGGGAAAAAGTCCTGCAATTCCTGTTACTGGCTGTGGAGTGCTGGTAGTTGTAGGACTTCTTTCTGTGCCCTTAATTATTTAATCAGTCTTTTCCCTTTAAAAAAATGTTTAGTGAAGGTGTAACTACTTTTAACACTGTTTCTATGATATGAAATTTCTTTTCCTATATGGTACTTATAGTCACTTTGCCCCCCCCCCCCCAACAGCCTGGATCTGTTTCTCTTGGGACACCAGTAACCAGGAAAAAAGAGGATGAGGTGTCAGTTGGAAGCACACCTTTGGCTAAGCAACAATCAAATCAGGCCTCTGAATATGCCAGCAGCCCTGTCAAAACAAAAACTGTAACAGGTATGCTTGGTTTGCAGTTTTGCTTTTTGAAATTGTGCATGCCAGCAGATTCAAGAATATTGAAATGTATTTCTGTTGTTTATTTCTGCTTCTTTATTATATTTTTATCCCATCTTTTTTCCTTTCAAAGAACTTAAGGTGGTTTACATAATTCTCCTCCTCTTCTCAATCTTATCCTCACAACAATCACCCTGTGAGGTAGGTTGGGCTGAGAGTCTTTGACTGGCCCAAAGTATGACCTGGTTAGCTCCATGGCTAAATGCGGATTAGAATGCTCAGTCCTGCACCTTTAACCTCTATAGCACACTGCTATGGAGAGATTAATTTCCATTTTCTACAATCTAAATGGTCAGATTTTCTTTTAAAGTTGATTTCTCTAAAAGACTGTCTTTAGACAGAAAATAAGCCTGATGGTTGGGGCATGCTAGGATTGTGGGATATCCTAAATAGCATAGGATTGCTCCTTAAGTCATCAACAATGCAGTGCAAGCAAGAAATTGGATGATATAGGGCACAGAGTTGCATTTATTTTATTGTAAGCCATGCAGAGATGAAAGTGATGTACGGCCTAGAAATATCCTAAATAAAGAAAGAAATTTAGTCATGGGAAAATGAGTTCAGATCCTCATGCAGTATGTCAGTCTAATAATCTGCCACGCAAGAGTTTTTGCAGGGATAAGAAGCAATGGACTAATGTAAATTACCCTGAGTTGTTTTGGAGGATTGGAAGCATAAATCTGTGTTGGAATATGTCTGATACCAAGGATACCATGTGAAGACACACAGATGGGGAGTGAGAACCAGCCTGCCTTGGAAAAGAAAGAAGGCATTTTAGAATTGGGAGGGGAGCAGATTGAAGGGGAAATCTTTGACCCTGTAAGGAGACAATAGGTGATGCATACAGACCAATTAAGAAGTGTCTAACATTTCCACCAACTGGTCTTGTCTCTAATCAATGAAGTCCATCCTTAAGCAGAACATCCTACAGATAACCAAGTCATTGTGACTAGATATCAAATTCCCCCCTGCCCTAATTATTAACCTAATCTTCAAGCCCCATACCAGTGACAGTCCAGTTCTTCTTCAGGTCCTTAAAACAATCTTGAACAAAGGCATTTTTGACACTGCCTAATTTAAGGAAATTTGAGTTCTTTTCCTCTTGGAGTCTGTTGTTGTTGTTGTTTGTTGCGAAGTCGTGTCTGACCCATGTTGACCCCATGGACAACATTCCTCCAGGCCTTCCTGTCCTCCACCATCACCCGGAGTCCACTCAAGCTCACACCAACTGCCTCAGTAACTCCATCTAGCCACCTCATCCTCTGCTGTCCCCTTCTTTTGCCATCCATTGTTCCCAGCATTAGGCTCTTCTCCAGGGAGTCCTTCCTTCTCATTAGGTGGCCAGAGTATTTGAGTTTCATCTTCAGGATCTGGCCTTCTAAAGAGCAGTCAGGGTTGATCTCCTGTAGGACTGACTGGTTTGATCGTCTTGCTGTCCAGGGGACTCGCAGGAGTCTCCTCCAGCAACACAATTCAAAGGCCTCAGTTCTTCAGTGCTCAGCCTTCCTTATGGTCCAGCTTTCACAGCCATACATTGCAACTGGGAAAACCATAGCCTTGACTATACGCACTTTTGTTGGCAGGGTGATGTCTCTGCTTTTTAGTATGCTATCTAGATTTGCCATAGCTTTCCTCCCCAGGAGTAAGCGTCTCTTAATTTCTTGGCTGCAGTCCCCATCTGCGGTGATCTTAGAGCCCAGGAAAAAAAAATTGTCACTACCTCCATTTCTTCCCCATCTATTTGCCAGGAAGTGAGAGGACCGGATTCCAGGTGCTTAGTTTTCTTAATGTTGAGTTTCAACCCAACTTTTGCGCTCTCCTCCTTCACCCGCATCAAGAGGCTCTTTAGTTCCTCTTCACTTTCTGCCATGAGAGTGGTATCATCTGTGTATCTGAGGTTGTTAATATTTCTCCCAGCAATCTTAATCTTAACTCCAACTGGTGATTCATCTAGGCCTGCCTTTCTCATGATGTGCTCTGCATATAAGATAAATAGGCAGGGCGACAGTATACAGCTTTGCCAAACTCCTTTCTCAATTTTGAACCAATCAGTGCTTCCGTGTCCAGTTCTCACTGTTGCTTCTTGACCCACATATAGGTTTCTCAAGAGACAAATAAGATGGTCTAGTACTCCCATTTCCTTAAGAACTAGCCACAATTTGTTGTGATCCACACAATCAAAGGCTTTAGCATAGTCAATGAAGCAGAAGTAGATGTTTTTCTGGAACTCCCTGGCTTTCTCCATGATTCAGCGTATGTTGGCAATTTGATCTCTAGTTCCTCTGCCTCTTTGAATTCCTGCCTGTGCTTCTGGTAGTTCTCGGTCCACATAGTGCTGGAGCCTAGCTTGTAGGATTTTGAGCATAACTTTGCTAGCATGTGAAATGAATGCCATGCTGCGGTAGTTAGAGCATTCTTTGGCATTGCCCTTCTTTGGGATGGGAATGTAAACTGACCTTTTCCAATCCTGTGGCCACTGTTGAGTATTCCAAATTTGTTGGCATATTGAGTGTAGCACTTTTACTGCATCGTCTTTTAAGATTTTGAATAGCTCAGCTGGAATACTGTCACCTCCACTAGCTTTGTTTTTGCTCAGACTTCCTAAGGCCCATTTGGGGTCTAATACTTAACTATTTAAATGAAGACCTGTCAAGGCAAGGCATATCAGAAGCTGCACACCATGTTGATGGATTGTGTCAGCAGGACATTGATAGCACTGGATCACTGTACTTATTCTGTGACAGCATTACTGATACGGGTTTCCAACTACTAGGCTTTCGTGGCAGCATAGCAGTGATTCTTCGTTGTGGCGTCTGTGCATCACACACATGGGCACTGCGCCTGCGCAGTGCCTAGGCCGGAAGATTAGAAAGTTAATGGTTTTTGGTGGGAAAACTCTGCTCCCCTCCCCCTCAGTGGTATAAATAGGGTGGAGTGTCCGCCATTTTATCAGTCTTTGCGACTGCCATTTGCTGTGCCTCGTGCCTGTTCGTCTCTCACTTAGATCCTCGTGTTCACTGTTCGTTTTACATTTTTTCATATATCTTGTCTTTAACTTCTTATACTCCAGGCTTTTTCTCTTAACCCGTCCTTTCTTCAAACCTTTCGTTCATATTAAAAAAAAAACAACCCAAAAATATTATCTTACCCTCTGCACTGTCTTCTCCTTTCTATTTCGTGTTGGCGCGGCGAGTGGCATTCTGCAAATGCATTGAATGCAGTTCCAAAATGTTGCCTGTGGATCCGCACAACCTATGCCTCCTCTGCCTTGGCAAGGGGCATAGAACCGACAAATGCGGCCACTGCTTGGTGTTTACCAAGCAAGCTAGGGAAAACGGAGAATCGTCTCTGCAAACTCCTATGGGACCAGGCCTTGATGCAATCGGACCAATTGGTCTTCAGGCCTGGCTCCTCTTCGGCCTTGGCCTCTCAGCGTGCCACCTCTACCACTGGTGTGCCTTTGAAGCATCCTGCTCCGGCTTCTGCTGCCCCTCCAAAGCGTCCTGCGGATGAAGGTGCCACCTCTATGGAGGCCCAGCAGTTATCTTCTCCCCCAGCCAAAAAACAGGAGAAGCGTAAACATACTGGCTCAGACAAGCCCTCTGCGCACAAGAAGCTGAGGAAGGGAAAAGCAGACAAGCCCGCCCGTAAGGGCAAAAAACCTGACCATCCCAAAGATCATGGTTCGGGTTCATCGGGCTTTTCGATACCGACCGCCACTGCGGTACCGACTCCCTCGGGACCGGCCCTGCAATCCGCAATGCAGTTGACCCCGCCGGGATCCCCCAGACAATCTATTCGGCCTGAGAGTGCGCCTGCTCAACAGCTGGAGGAGCTGCTTAGGGAGTCCATTTCTGATGGAGAGATCAGAGACTCCCCACCGAGGGAACGCTCTCCGACTCTGATGCCCGCAGCTGAGCCACCTGCAGATTCGCCATTGCCTCTCAGACACCGAAGTCACTCATCTGAGCACCGAGATGAGGATTGGCCAATGCGTGGCTATGGTGGTTTCCCCAGCTGGGGTGAATACCAACCATATGCCTTTTGCCCACGGGACCATCAGTCACCATCGGTCCCAAGGGAGGTGGAGAGAGGACGACCAACGTCTCTGGAAACCTCATCTTCTAGCAACTGCCACTGCTACCACGAAGACTAGTATGAGTTGGAGGTTGATTCTATGATTCCTGATGTGGTTCGTCAGGGCCTGCATCCCCTGACGAACCACATGTCACCTTTGCGGAGCTCATCTCCTGCCTCATTCGGTCTCTGGAGATCGAGGCCCATCATTGCCCCGGTCCCAGTACTGATCGCTTTTACGACATCGTCAGGGGAGAGCAGTCCGCAGCCATAGCCCTCCCACTCATCACGACACTTCGCCAGGCTATGGTCCAGCCCTGGGATCAACCGGCTCAACCACAGGCTACGTCTCATTGGTACAACGCCATGTACCGGGTTCGGGAGGACGGCATCCCATTCCTGCTCTGTCACCAAAGCCGATCTCAGTGGTGGTTGAGTCCTCCCAGGGCAGGGAGTCGAAGGGTCACATGGCCCCTCGTGACAAGGAAGGGAGGAAAATCAATATGCTTGCGCATCGGGTCTATGCGGCCTCTGGGCTTAGCCTTTGCATATTGAATTATGAAGCAATGTTGGCACGTTACCAGTACTTCATAATGCAAAAGCTGGATAACGTTGCCTCCTCCCTTCCAGACCACCAAACAGACTTGGCCAGAGTCTTCATAAAGGAGGCTATGCAGGTGGCGATACAACAGCTCTCCAATGCCAGGCGCCATGTGGACACTGACTCGAGGGCCCTTGTCAGTGCCATTTCTCTGCAGCGCCACACGTGGCTAGGTAATTGTAATTTTCCTGACGAAATGAAGAGGAGGATCGAGGAAATGCCATTTGACGGCACCGGACTTTTCTACCAGAAGACCGACCATAAG